TTTGGATTTCAAAATGGTGGACTCTAAAATCATCATTAGCCAAGTCCAAGATTTCTAAGTAATTCAACACGAGATTCATGCAGAGAGAATGATGTTGAGTGAATCATTTCAGACAGCTGCTTTGATTGAGAAACTACCTAATAGCTAGAAAGACTTCAAGAATTATTTGAAACACAAGTGAAAGAGATGACAGTTGAAGAGCTCGTTGTTAGGTTCCACATTGAGCAAGACAATAAAAAGAAAGGGAGGAGTACCTCCACTGTGAAAGCAAACATGGTTGAGCATAGCTAGTCCTCGAGGGTTAAGAAGAAACTGGGGGCTAGAGGTGGTGTCTCCAAGAGGGTAGTCTACAAGCCGCATGAACCTACTTATAAGTTCAATGGAAAGTACTGTAACTGTGAGGTGATGGGCACAGGGCGATTGATTGCTGCAAGAAGAAGAAGCCTTATAAGAAAAACCATCCACAAAAGAAAATCCAGGCTCACATGGCTGAAATGGAGGATCTGTCACAAGATGTTGATGACATGCATCTTTCCGCTGTCATCTCAGATGTGAATATGGTGGGGTCCAACTCAAAGGAATGGTGGGTGGACACTGGGGCCACTTGCCATATTTGTGCTAAGAAAAAGATGTTCACAACTTTCAAACTGGTTTCAAATGGTGAGAAGTTGTTCATGGGGAATTTCACAACCTCAATTGTTGAGGGGAAAGGCAAGGTAGTCCTGAAGATGACTTTAGGAAAAGAGCCGACTCTGAACGGTGTCCTATTTGTGCAGGATATTTTTTAAGAAACTTGTCTCGAGGTCTCTCCTAAGTAAGCATCGCTTTCGTATGGTGTTTGAATCCAATAAGGTCATGTTGACCAAAAGAGGAGTTTATGTAGGGAAGGGGTATATGTCGGCCGATATGTTTAAGCTCAATGTAATAACTATTATCCCAAAAATGAATGAGAAAACTTCTTCTTCTTCTTATATACTTGAGCCCCCTGAATTGTGGCATGATAGACTAGGTCATGTGAATTTTGACTCTGTGCGTAGATTAATCAAGTTAGATCACAAACCATCTTTCAAGATTAATCCAAATCACAAGTGTGAAACTTGTGTAGAAGCAAAATTGACAAGGACTTCAGTTCATTCTGTTGAAAGAAGTACCAAGCTTTTAGATTTAGTGCACAATGATGTGTGTGACTTGAAAGTCGTACAATCACATGGTGGGAACAAATACTTCATCATTGTGACATCTTGTTCCAGGTGACTGCTCGATCGAAGAAAGTGTCGTTCGAGCAGAGAATTGTTGCTCCCAGTATCTCACAGGTTTACAAGCAAGACCGCTTGAGCGAAGGAATCGTCACTCGAGCACTGAATGTGAGGTCCCAATAGTTTCACTATAGCTCTGCAAAACTTCTGGGACTTCTCATTTTTCGCTCAAGCAGTGGAATTTTCACTCGAGCAATCCCTTCGTAATTGTGCTATTTGCTCGAGCAAAGGAAGTTGCGCTTCAGCGGTCTGCGCAATTTTAGCACTTTAAAAAGTACATTTCTAGATCATTCTTTTCACTTCTCCTTTTTCTCTTCCTCCCTCTCACCCTATCAATCCCATAGGTTTTTAACCTAGTATTTCTTTGTTTTGAAGAAGTTTATATGGTATCACGTGACCTTAAGGTTTGATTAAATGATTGAAATGGATTAAACTTTGTATTTAACAAAAAATGACATTTTACTCAATTTTCATTACAATTTCATCTGGTTTTACACAAATCAGGAACATTGATGTTGAGAATTTATATCTATATCAAGATATAGAGAAAGCCCTAAATTTGACGAAAACCCTAATTTATAATTGAGTAGAAAATAGTATTTAGATTGGAATTTTCTTAAAGTCTTGGAATATTGTGAACAATAGAAGGTGAAAGATGTGGATATTGTTGTGATAACGAAATTGTGGCTTGGGAATTGATTCATCTTGAATGTTGTGCTTGTATTTCCCTTCATACAGTGTTGAATATTTGGGATTGATTGAAAGTTTGGTAAATTGAGCATGAGTCCGTGTTGAGAGTCGGTTTTGATGTGGTTGTGTGTGTTGGTACCCGCACGAGGAGTTAAGGTGCCCAATTTCCCTGTCTGAGCTTCTCAACGGATGAATGTGGGAAAATGTTTTTGGGTGTCCACAAGTTCTGCCGTATTGTAGTCGGTAAAAGTGGAAAAATGGATGATTTTGGGTGCCCACGTCCTGCTATATAATAGTCAGTAAATGTAAGGATGGTTTTTAAATGAAAGTGACTTGTATTTTTTATTCAGACTCTCATGAGGGACTCATGGTATGTTTTTCCTTTCTGATATGATGATGATTGGTGTGAGATGGAAATGTGATTATCCAACTGTGCAATCGTTTACATAAGTAACCATGTTTGTATATATATTTTAATTACTTATCTTCTCTTGTCTCAATGGTGCCGTGGGCTTATTCAAAGGATTAAATACTTAGTTAAATGTATTCCTACTGGGCATATAGCTCATTCCTAATTAAATTTTCAAGACATGATGATATACCACCATAGCGATGATTTGAAGTAAACGGTTACTCAGTTGGGATTGATAGCCTGCAGATACTTTACTGCCGAGACTTAGAGTGTTGTATCAAGACTTTTAAATTTATTTTGTTGTTGTCTTGTTTGCCTTTAAGGCTTTTCCTTTTTGTAATGTCATCTAGTTCATTTAACTTGGAGATGAGTACAAAGTATCTTGGAAATGTAAACTTGAAATTGTAATTTCTTAAATCTTAGTTCAATGAGAAAGATGATTTTTGGTATTTTGCTATGCATGTTGTAGGGTATTCATGTAAGAATTGGCAGGGCGTTACAATCACTTTTGTTGATGATTTCAATAAATATTGTTATTTGTATTTGCTTAAAAGCAAAGATGAGGCAATTGACAAATTTATTCTTTTTAAGAATGAAGTTGAGAATAAATTAAATGGAAAAATCAAGGCTTTAAGAAGTGATCATGGTGGAGAATATGAATTGTCATTTATTGAGATTTGTGCTCATTTTGAAATTATCCACCAAACTGCGCCTTATTCCCCTCAGTCAAATGGTGTTGTTAAGCTAAAAAATATGACGGTGAAAGAAATGATGAATGCAATGTTGATAAGTTCTGGGTTGCCACAGAACTTGTAGGGGGGAAAGCGATTCTCTTCATGAATTACATTCTAAATAAAATACCTTAGAAAAAAGTGGACAAGACTCCGTATGAATTGTGGAAAGGCCGCAAGCCTTCTTATAATTTCCTACAAATGTGGGAGTGTTTTGCAAAAGTGACAATACTTACACCCAAAGAGGTTATGATAGGTCCAAAAACTGTAGATTGTATATGCATTTGTTATGCACAGAATAGTAGTGCATATAGGTTTCTTGTGCACAAATCTGATATTTCAAATATACACAAGAATACCATAATAGAATCAAGGAATGCATCCTTCTTTGAGGACGTGTGTCCTTGCCAAACCCGCGGAGAGGATCAAAATTCTGAGAAGGAACTTGAAAATTATCCTAGTGATAGTGATCTAGATAAGGAGGTAGATAAGCCAAGAAAGAGTAAAAGGGTTAGGACTTTCAAGTCCTTTGGTCCAGACTTCTTAACCTATATATTAGAAGGAGAACCTCAAACTTTTCATGAAACTGTGACTTCACCTGAAAGTCCTTTGTGAAAAGAAGCAATTAAGAGTGAGATTGACTCCATCTTACAAAACCACACCTGGGAGTTGGTTGATCTACCTCCAGGTAATAAGGACTTGGGAAGTAAGTGGATCTTTAGAAGAAAGATAAAAAGCAAATGAGTCAATTGATATGTATAAAACTAGGCTAGTTATTAAAGGATACAGGCAACGAGAAGGCCTGAATTATTTTTATACATATTCACTAGTGAAAAGCATTACATCCATTTGCATAGTGATTGCGATAGCAGCTTTACGTGGTCCACAGATACATCAGATGGATGTAAAGACAACTTTCTTAAATGGAGATTTAGATGAGAAAATCTACATAGAGAAAGCCGAGGGGTTTTTTACTTCAGGGAAAAATAAGAAAGTCTGTAAGCTTGTCAAGTCATTGTATGGTTCAAAATAAACTCCTAAACAATGGCATGAGAAGTTTGACAACGCTATGTTGTCAAATAGATTTAGAATCAATGAGTATGAAAAATGTGTATATGTCAAAGACACTAACAGAGGTTATGTCATTTTGTGTCTATATATTGATGGCATACTCATTGTTGATAGTAATGATGAGATGATTAGAACTACCAAGAGATTGTCAAACTCTAAGTTTGACATGAAAGATATGGGCCTTGCAAATGTGATTTTGGGTATTAAGATTACCAGAACATCTGGTGGTATTGTATTTTCTCGATCTCATTATGTTGAGAAAGTACTTGAGAAATTTGATAAGCCAGATACAAGTGTGTTAAGGATACCAGTAGACTTGAGTCTACACTTGATCAAGAATAATGGCGAGAGTGTCTCTTAACTAGAATATTCACGGATCATTATAAGTTTAATGTATCTGATGAGTTGTACAAGGCCAGATATAACCTACTTTGTTAGCAGGCTTACACTACTACAAAAATAGTTAAAAATCACACTTTGATAAATGAAAATATCTCACTTTTATTAGAAGTGTGATCAAAAAAATTAGATTGATATTTTAATCACACTTGATTTGATTAAGTGTGATAATATTTATTTTTTATCACGCTTTTCAATTAAGTGTGATTATATATATATATATATATACACACTTTTTAATTAACATGTGATATATTTATTTTTTATGTCACTTTTCAATTAAGTGTCATTCTATATATTTTTTTAATCACACTTTCTAATTAAGTGTGATTATATATAAAAACAATATAAATGTAATTATATATTTATATATATATATATATATTTGAATATTTTTTTATATATAAAAATATATCCCAAAATTGGTGCCTTTTTCTCTTCCACTACTCTAGCAGGCACGACTTCTTCCAAAGAAGATTCAGAATTTTTGAACATATCAGACTCTTCCTTTTCCAACTCACTTTGCCTCTCTTTCTAATTCCTTAGCCCTAATTTGGTTTGCAGCTCTAAAATCACCATTGTTACTCACTCAAAATCTTCGTCTCTGTTGAATCTTCAAACGTCTGGTGAGTTCTGTCCTCTTTTTTTTTTTTTTTTTATGCCCCTTTCGTATATCATTCATAAGATATATTTGTATTTATTTACTATTATGATTATTATTAGTGAAATTATATAAATATAGTGTTTCATTTAGAATGAGGGGTTTGGGTGGGAATGTTGATACTGTATTTGTGTTTTGTAAATCAAAGTTGGAATGCAATTTTTTTTTTTTTTGATACTGTATGTTGATTCAGAATTTCTTATGTTGATACTGTATATGTATCTGTATGCATGGAAGATGTGGTCTAGGGTTGATGAAATGGTGGGGATTGCGGTGGGTTGTGCTACAAAATAGGTGGTTTGTTTGCTTGGTGGGTAGGTGTCGATTTTAAGGAAATGGTAAAATTTAGAGTACCTTCAAAGACAATTCTTCTACGTTTTCTTATTCAGTACATGATTGGGTAAAGATTTTGTTGATGGTTGGTAGGCTTAACAGAGAGTGGAGAAGTCTATAATAATGGTAGTTAGCATTCCTCTTCTTCATTATTTTTTTGGAGGGAAACATGGGGTGTAGTTAGGTTAATAATAGGATTCTATGATTCTTTTCATGTGTAATGATGGTACAAATGTTGAAGAATGATCAATGATAGCAACTAAATTGATTTCTAATTTACCTTTTCATCCATGAGTCATGTTATGTACAATTAATCTAACTACACCCCATGTTGCTTTTGTTGTTGCTGTTGCACTTAGTTGCTACTGCTTTTTGTTGGGTTTTGTTTTGTTTAGAACGCTTTTTGTTGATCATATTATGTTGTGTAAATCCCATTCTATAAATTCCACTAGTCAACCACCCCATTATCTAATTTGGGAACAATGCAAAGGCATCATTAATGTCATAAAACAAAATTTTGATTACAAATGTTATATATGACCAGGCCTGGCCCTGAGGGCAGGCAAGAGAGGCCTGCGCCTTGGGCCCCCAAATTTGGGTTAAAAATAGGGGCCCCCAAATATAATTTTTTGTTTTAGATATTAAAAAAAAAAGGCCCAAATACTATAGGCCTAATTGACGAGAAGAGAAATGAGGTCGTGTTCATATTTTGTGTCCAAATTCATATTTTGTATCTACCAATACCAGGCCATGTTCTGAAGCCACACGCTACAATACATAACAGCCAGTAAACAAACTAACATAAGTTACAAAAGTTTGTTTACCAACAGTACCCCCATAAGGGTACAATGTAAGCAAATGAGTCCTTGCCTGCAGTGGCTACTAAAATTTAAGTTGTACATGCTTCCCAATGGTTAAAGTCCATGACTATTGATAACCAGAAACAAACAAGTCAACCATGCATTTAAAGGTTTTGAAAAGATAACTAAGAATATGTCTACCTTTAGTTAAAAAGAAGTGTTATGTGTGGTGATAAATGTATTAAAAATAGAATTCTTATTTAACTATCACATAGAACTGAATGAAGAGCAATAGGAAAGGATAGAGGCTAAGAATCCAAGGAACATTTCAAGCATCATTCCTCTTTTTTTATTTCTTTTCAAGGCCTACTCAAGTAGAACATCATTTTTTTTATCTTTTTGTTCTAATGGCCCATTGAAACAGAATTGATGCTAGTAATCAAAATTCTAATTTAAAAATTCCCAATATTGATTGATATGGTCCAATAATTGTCTTACAAGCTTTTACACTACAATGGAAGCATTTATAAAGCAAGAAAAGATAAATCCATCACCTGCCCATATTCAAATAAGCTTAATGCTTTCCTACTTGCTTCATCATAATTAGCCTGAGTAATTAGCCCACATTGAACTATCTGAAAGGCAAAATCAATCATAAGAAAAACATGCAGCTCATAGTGACAAGAGATCGAAACAACATCCAAACAAATTTGCTAAAATTCCCTGACAAGCAAATATTCATGTTTTAAGTCAAAAAAAATGGTTATTCATCATCAATTCTTGACCTTTCGAATTTTTTGGGTCATGAATGGTTAGGGAGTAATTATAAATCTACATATACAAAATAACAAAAAATTTAGATGTAATGATTGCTTCCTATCTTAATATATGAAAGTAATTTTTTGTTTATAATTTTAATGATTGTATGTGCAAGTAAATTTTTTTTGGGCTACAAAAAAATAAAAAAGTTGTTGTAATTTATTGTTTTATCCATGGACTGTTTCTTTTTTTAATGTAAGAGGGGCCCCATTTTTGAAGTTCACCTTAGGCCCCCTAAATCTCAGGGCTGGCCCTGCATATGACAATAGAACTAGAAGAAAAGAAAAAGGCAAGGTAGGTGAAATGAAAAAGCATCGTTCAATCTCAGTCTTGTGGCAATGATAGAGAGGAGAAGTAAATCTAGAAGACAGAATGACGTCCCAAATCCATCAAACCAGTTTGCACGCTGAGTATAGGTTTTATAAATGATTCAAAACTGTAACTCTCTTCTTTCTAAAATCTTCTCAGAGACCTATTAAAGTAAAACAAAATGAGAAATCAAATCTGTGTGTTTGAGGAATGCATATGAAATGGAAGTAGATGTAAGAATATAAGTAGAGAAATGACTATAACAAAATCAAGTCATGAGGCAAGAACAGAGAAGCAAACAAGGAGCTTTCGAAGATTGTAAAAATAAATGAATATTAAACAGTTTCCTACATCAGATAAGACAAATGGTCCTATATCAGATGTTCATAAGATGTAAAAAGAAAGAACTTCAATATAGAGAACACATTACTTGATTTAATAACCAAGGTGAAATACCAAGTTTTCAATTAACTATCCTTTCTACCCTGCTTTTGTATCTTACCCCTCCCAAAATATATGCACAGGATAGTGAGGAAAGACCGGTTCTTTCCCTGATTGGACTGCTTCGATAAAAGCACCATAAGAGTAAGCTTGGGTGGAACAAATGTGATGTCTCCATCTTTAGTCGAGAACAATTAGATCATACTGAAAAATAAATAAATAAATAAAGCAAAATGAGACAAATAAAAGTCTAATTTCTCAACAACAACCAAAACAAAAGACAACAAAGGGTTAAGTTTCTTTGGAAAGTCATATCCCAAGAAGAGTAGCCTCCCCAAAACATTGAGACTAACCTCCCCAAAACACCAAGCAACAGCAGGCAGGTAACAACAAGTAACAGCAGACCATTAAGCAATAGCAAAAGACCAAGCAACAGAAGTAGGCAACAGTAGGCAACTAACAGTATACATCAGCAAGCATGCAGTAGCAGCAACACAGTAAGTAGCCAACCAACTCCAACCTCCCAGGTTTCTCTTACTCAAGGTATGATATTGTCCACAATCTCAGTCAGCGCTTGTTCTGCTGTTAAGTGTGTCTGCCTCTGTATCTGTGTGCTGCTCGAGAAGTAGTGGGATTTTTTATTGCTTAGCCTAAAAATCTTTTATTGGTTGGTGATGAGGTAAAATATTCAAACCTAGAAACTTTATTACACTTTCTTAAAATTAAAGTTGACTTATATTTGTTTATTTTGAAACTTTCAAACTTAGGGAGCTTCAATGAATGTTGAATGTGGAAAATATCAAGAGTCCATTCAATCTTTTGTTTCATTAGTTGAGCATATCAAGTATGATGAAGCCATAGACATTCAACAGAAGAAAGACATATTTGGAAAAGAGATCAATATCCAACTTCAAAGAGTAGACATGGAGTACATATGTCATGTAAAAGAATTATCTGTTACATGTATCATGTTGTACACAAGGTAAGGAGAATTTTGCTACATCAATAGCTATTTCTGCAAATTTTATGAATTATGAATTTAATTAACATTTGTTTCTTTTATTAGTCATCTTCATCAGGTGTTGAAGGCTTTCAATTGGAGGAAACAATTTGTATTTGTTAATCCCTGTGTTGTTAGTGGAAAAACTATGGCTAGAGAGAAATCAAAATCAGCATTGCTTACAAGAAGATTAGAGGAGGTTATGCTAGAACAATTGATTTTAATTCCTTATAATATTGGGTAATTATCTAAAACTATTTATTTCATGTGTTCAAAGGATATTAAACTTAGTAAGCTTATACTTATGACTTGTTCAATTCTAGGCATAATTGAATATTGTTAGTCATTGATCTAACATTGATGATTGTGTACTTGCATGATTCAATTAATTCTAAAATAAAACCAACCCTTGAAATTGTAATAAACACGTAAGTTTGGTTGGTTCATACATTTTTAAGCAATTTGAGTTACCCTAAAAATATTTTGACTTCTGAAATTTCTTTTCTAAAGTGCTTTGAAAATTTATGAAACTACCCAAAGGAGGAGCAGGACCAATCCAGTTTGAAAAGTAGTTTAAGTAATCAATATCATTTTCTCTAATTTTATCATACTTATATTTATGCTAAGGGTTGTTCAACTTGATCATAACACTTTATATGTAGTTTCTAATAATAATGAAAATGCTTTGATCATACCACTTTATATGTAGTTTCTAATAATAATGAAAATGCTTTTATGTAGTCCCCGCAACAACCTACAAATGTGAATGTGGGTTTCATGTAATGGACCTCATTAGAGATCAAAGCATCCTAAGAAAACAAAATGTGAGATAAATTCTAACTTTTATTACTATATTATATTCATGATACTTGTACATCTTCTTCATTATCTAATTGTTTCTAAATAACCTCTTGTAGTTTAACGGAAAAAAAACTTACACGGAAACCGAAATTGATGAAGTGAGGGTTGAGTGGATTAATTTTGTCCTAAAGAATATGAGTTGAAATCCAACATGTAAGTATTATATAACTTCCATTCTTTAAATTTCTAATAAACAATTTCTTTTGTTGGTGAGGAATACATAATCACTTCAAGATTTCATTTTGAATTTGTTGATTCTATGTATATTTAGTTTTATGACTTTAAAATATCTGGCCATGCATTTACGATTTTCATTTTGGATTTATTGATTCTATGTATATGTCATATCTATATGGTAATCCAAACTTCATACTAGTAACAATCAAAGTGGTTATTCATTTTCTATTGATGTAGGAGATGAAGAGTCAGGTTGATGAGAAAGATCTGACTTTATCTTTTGTAAAACTAGAACAGTCTCTACAAATATTTAGTTTATTCATATGCTTCTAGAGGTTCCTAAATTAATTTGTGTTTTCATTTTTCAAGTCAGAAATTTCTTAAAGAGATGTAAAATATGGTTAAAGAATTTAACAACTTAGTTTTTCAGGTTTTTTCACTTTTTAATATATGTAAGCACAGTTAAAAACTTTTTATTTAATTCCTTTGGTGCAGTTTGGTAACACTTACGTTTTCAGTTTTCTGTTTATATTTACAAAAATTAAAAAAACTCAAATAAAAACTTGTTCGGTGAAATTTTTGATTTATAAATCAGTGGTCTCAGTTTATAAATTTGGCAAAACAATGAAAAGACCAAAAATGTGTTTCCGTTTCCATTTTGAGTTTTCAGTTTTTTTTTTTTACCACCCAACACTAGCCACCACCCGTCACCATTTTTCACCATCGTCTTCTACCACCACCACCCATCCCCCACCATCACTCACCACCCACCTACCACTACCTGCCACCACCACTCACCAGCCACCACCCGTCTGCCACCCACTCGCCACCACCACCCACCCCTCGCCACCACCACCACCACCACCTACCAGCCATCCACCCGCCACCACCCGCCACTCGCCACTACCATCCATTGCCCGCCACCACCACCCACCACCACCACCACCATCACCATCACCCACCACCCACCACTACCACCACCCACTTGCTACCACCTACCACCCGCCACCTACCTGCCACCACCCACTACCACCCGCCATCCGCCACCCACCTGTCACCACTTTCTACTACCGTCTTCCGCCGCCACTTGCCCCACTTGCCACCACTTGCCATTTCTCACTCTTTTTTATATTTTAAACATTTTATCAATTAAAGAATTTACTCTCTCTCTCAGATGCTTTGATATGACAACAACCACATTTATGCAATATGCTAAAGCAAATAAATGCTCACCTAGTAATCCATGGTGAAGATGCTTTGATATGACAACAACCACATTTATGCAATATGCTAAAGCAAATAAATGCTCACCTAGTAATCCACGCCAAACAAAGCAAAATAATTAGAAAAATGCATGTTCCTAACTAATGCGATATGACTAATGCAACACATGTGATATGCAATCTACCCTACCCGCCACCGTCACCCACCCACACCCACCACCACCACCCACCCGCCACCAGCTACCCACCACCCACCATCACCACTTTCCACCACCGTCTTCCTCCGCCACTTGCCACCACTTGCTATTTCTCACTCTTTTTTATATTTTTAAAATTTTTTAAGCATTTTGTCAATTACCAAATGCGTTTGTAGCTTATATTTTTCTAAAAATAAACAAAAATCAGTTTATAAAATTTTTATAAATATAAACTAAAAACATAAACATTACCAAACACACCCTTTGTATATACTTTTGAACATTTAATTTTCATTTATGAAATATATGATGTTATTTCATTCAATATGTGGTTGTGATTCAAAGCATAGTATATAGTGTGTATTACATTCTTCAAATGCGCGTACAAAAATAATATTGATTATTCTTCAAATATATCGAACCCTTTTTTTATCACACATATTAACTGTGATGAGAAATGCATAAAGCATGTGATCTTATCTTATTATTAATCACAAGTTTTATTAGATATTAATCACACTTAAAATATGTAATCTAAATGTTTATTATCATAAGTTTTATTAATTATTAATCATACTTAAAAGATGTGATCTGAATATTTATTATCATAGGTTTTATTAGTTATTAATCACACTTAAAAGATGTGATCTAAATATTTATTATCATACATGAAAAGCATGATGGAATCATCTTTTAATGACACTAAAAACGTGTGATTAAAAATGACCATTTTTAATCACACTCCCAAATATCACACTTTGACAAAACTTAAAAAATGTGATTAAAAACATATATCACACCAAAAAAAAGTGTGATCTATTTATGATTTTGTAGTAGTATAGTAGATACATGAGTAATCCTAATCGTACTCGTTGGAAGGCCATTATGTGGGTGTTAGGTTATCTTCACTGCACCCGGGATTATGTGCTGGAATTATGGGCTACATTATACCAGATACCCAGCGGTACTAGAAGGGTGTAGTGACACTAATTGGATATTTGATATAAAAGACTCCAAATCCATTAGTGGCTATGTGCTTACCCTCAAAGGGGTAGTCGTGTCTTGAAAATCTTCGATGCAAATGTGTATATCGAGATCAATGATGGAATCTAAGTTTATTGCTTTAGATAAAGCAACTGAAGAAGCTGAATGGCTTTGCAAGTTCGTTGAAGATATTCCACGTTGGTTGAAACCTATGCCTGCTATCTATATTCATTGTGATAGCCAATCGATGATTGGTCAGGAACAGAGTAATATATATATAATGAAAAGTCTAGACATATCTGTTGTAGACATAATTCCATACAACAACTACTCTCTAATGGAGTTGTCCCTCCAAACTATGTAAAGTCTAAGGACAACATTGTGGATCTACTAACCAAAAGGTTAACTCAAGAGTTAGTAGAAACGTCATAAAAATGAATGGGGTTAAGGCCTTTAGTAAATGTTAACGCCATGAAAACCCAACCTAGCTAACTGGAGATCTCGAGATCTAGGTTCAAAGGGACAGCCTAACTGCGTGTAATAGTTGAGTCACTGAAGAGGTAAATCCTCTTGCCCATTCCTTTATACAGTAATAACATGTGGGGTTAGAATGATAAGCTAATGCTTTTAATGACCTAAGTGATATGAATAGTCAACCATGGAATAGAAAGATACATTATGTAGGTCACCTATGTAAGTGTGAAGTGGGGCTGTAGACGCGCCCGCGTGGGGACCCCGCGCTACAGCTCGGACTCGATTTGTGTGTCACGGTTCTTAATCTGAACCAAAGAGTCCAAATCCGGCAAATCGTTTTGAGAAACAGATTTTTGAAAAGAAGTGCCAAACATGGACTGCTTTGCCAGATACAGAGTCGCCACCTAAATATTTTTTATGGGGGAATTTAGGAAACCCTGACTCGGTGCCAAAGGCCACGTGTCTGTCATCACCAAAGTTGCCTCGGCTCGGGAACTTGGGTACGATCGGGGAAGGTCAGCTATGAGCACCCCCTCTCGCCCGATCCGAAGATCGGACTCTACTAACCATGATATCCGTTTTTGAAAACGTTATGTGTTCTTATTCCGGTTATTAGCCTAAAATTACTACGTTATGCGCACAGCAAACAAGTATAGACTAGATTGCCTAATTTGGGAATAAGCATTGCATATTCGTTTGTTTTGGAAAATGTTTGGAATTTGCTACCCGCAAGTAGGCTAAAACACGGATTTCAACGAGTGTTTCCAACTCAGACAATCCAACCTTCACCCACAGGCATTCGAGCAGTTATATCACATAAGCACCTAGCCACATGGTAAGCATGCTGTCATAATAGCATTCACACGCATGCGGTATGCTAAAGCATAAAAATACTTACATCGTACTCCATGCCAAAACAATAAACTAGTTAGCCAACATGCATGGTCCTAGTTCATGTCAAGTTAACTAATGCAACACATACAGGATACAATTTAGAGTAGGCTCGACTAACCTAAACATGGCATGTGAAATGCAATCAGTTGATGCACGTATTCAATTTGGAATTGAAGTGCAAATGCAGTTAGCATGATGTACCGAGCCTGGTGCATGCAAGACAAATGTATGGATGCACGCATGCATAGCATAAGGTATGCTAATTTAAACATGCCCTAATCTACCTCCATAAGCAGGTAAATAAAAGGGAAGAAAGAAGTGGGGATTGGAAGACATGCACACACTCACCCACACTTATTACAAATTTGCCCTCGCTCGGAGGGACCGAATAAATATTACAGATAATTAACCTACAAGTTAATTAAATATTACAGGCCATCTAATTAGCTAAACAAATTAACTAATCTAGGGAAAGCAGATAAGCCGCCTCGGGAAGAGAGCCCAATGCAATGCATGCTCGGTCCTGCTCGGAAGTGCACTGCCATGCATAGGCTGCCTCTGTTCTCCCTGCTCTGCCTCTTTGAAGACTGCCAAAGTCTCAGAATTGCTTTCTTGGACATTGGGAGACACCACCGGCTAAGTAGAATCATCACCGGCTGTGGTGTGTAATCATCGGCTGTTGATAAAGCTATCGGCCCAGGAAGGATTGCCGGTCGGCACTAAGCATTGCCGGTCGGCAGAAAGTTCCTGCAGAATCTGCAATTGACAGCAACAGAGGGCAAGGCAGAGCATGGCAATGCTATTCAAGCAATGTATGCATCAATCACATCCCTTATCATGTTTATGACTCAAAGGGCCATGATCCTTGGTTCTTGGACCATCAATCGCACATTTTAATGCGTGATGGCCCAAAGAATCAAGTGTGCATTTTTGATATGGAATGCAATGCATATGAACAAACCAATGAGACTCAACCTCTATCATGACTTGGTCAAGAAGTAGAGCATGCATGCCCATGCAATGCAATCCTAATCATGTGAGCTAGCATGTAACATGGATAATGCAAGCAAGCATACAAGACATACAAGGCATGAGATAATGCAACCAACAAACATACAAGGCACAATGTGGGTGTTTAAGCATGTAAACAAACATGTGACTTCATTCAATCATGCAAGTTCAATATTGCAAAAACTCACCAATATGCTACAACATACAAGGAGTACATGCAACAAACAAAGAGATAGACTTAAACATGATTTAGGCAGTCCTAACTAGGCCTAAAACAGTGGCCAAAGTGCCCAAAATGAAGGACTAACACACCCGCACGCATGCATGCAATGGGAATCCAATACTTCAAGCATTTAAAAGCAATTCTCAAGCACACATAAGAGGATGCAAACATGGACTAATGTCATGCATTAAGCTCTGAAAATCATGCAAGAACATGGTGCCAAACCAAGCAAACAAGATAGGCTAAAAATGTAACAAATGGCCCAAGCATTCAAGGAAAGCTAATGAAGTATTGAACTACACTTGATATGACCACACATGGCAAATTGATAAATATAAAGCTAGACAAGTCATCAAAGGATACAGGTAGCGAGAAGGCCTGGATTACTTTGTTACGCATTTACTTGTGAAAGGAATTACATCCATTCGCATGGTGATTGCGATAGCCGCTTTACGTGGTCTAGAGATACATCAGATGGATGTA